AGTCTTTGTGCAACTGCAATTCACATTTTATAGCCTGGTCCAGTGTACCAACTGAGGTTTTACGAAATACAGCCTATACAGACTAGACAAAGAACTCACCACAGTTGATCCTCTAGATGAGTTCATGAAATGTGTACTGGTGTTGCACAAAGACCAAGTATAAAGTTTACCCACGGCGATTGTGCACATTGCTGGCCGTGAAGTGACCAATAGGAGAATAGGAAAAGTGGGCGCGTCTGAATGCGAATGGTTGCCAAGGCTGATTAGCCAAGTGCCTCTTCCCTAGGCCTAATAGGTTATTCAGTGTTTGTGGATTTGGGATCACTTGTGCGTTGGTTGAAAGGCCTATCTCCTCTGTGATTATGCCACTCTTTGTCGAGTTGGATGATTTGCAGCAATTGGCAGGTTGTGCCATCGTTGAGTAACTCTCTCCGACATGCTCAGTCGGTTGTGGTGCTAAACGTTAGATTTCTTTTCATCATAATCTTATTGAGCGAAGAAATGCGAAAAGCGTTTGAAAGGTGTTACATCACGAACATGACATGTGAACTTTGGTTTCTCGTCCCTCTGGATCATTTATGCACGATGAGGGATCTATTGCATAGTAGGTCCGTCACCACTGGTTAGTGGATATGTATTACTTTACTTATGCTCTAATGACCCCACTTGAGCATTTTGACTGGATATAGTCGGACTGTCACTCATTTTCTCATAATAAAATCGCCTATGAAGCAGACTGAGGACAAATTCTTCTACCTGCAATGCTGCATAAGTCCATTGAGTGAAAGAGGTAATTAGTGGTAAGCTGGGTTTTTTTATCACTTCACCACTTATTCATCCATTCACCCAACATTCCAGCTTGTCAGGCTCACACATCGAGCAATGTACAGACAACTCTCTGATACACCAATGAGTATGATTGGGCTAGCTGGTACTACGTCTGCTCGCGTTTAATCTGACGATTAGGCTAAATGGCATGCTCAGCATCATAATAATTTCCAGCCTCGTGTTTCATGTTTGACTAACTTTGGCCCTTGGTATTTAGCACTCGCCATAAAACACATCTAAATGCAGCAACAAAATATTGGAAGGAATGAGACAAGAGCGGTAAGTTGCAGACTATCGGAATGTTTGCCTGAGAATGCGAACTGCTACGGAGTAAAATCAGTACTAAATTTTGAGGAGGTAGCTATCTCCGACTTTACTCATAGCGAAAGAATAATTGGTAGGCAGCAGTTCCAATGTCTACACGGTTAGGCGACCATGGTGCCTCTTTTTGTGTCTTCTTTCTCATTTTGATATTTCATAGCATTTCCGCATTTGCACAAATCATCCACCCACTATCAAATCATGCATCAGCCAGCAACAGCGGATGCTGACGGCAGTGCCTGTCTAAATTCCTAACCACACTTCTACTACACATTTCAAAGCGACTTATATTAACACGCGACTGTCGTTATGGTAATCATTTCAAGATTGCTTCTTAAAAGCGAATCTACAGTCGATTGGCGCATCGTTAAGGAATCACTCAGTGTTGCGCGATAAGTTATTCGAAACGGATTTTGGATATACATGACCGCGCTCTTATTAACTTCTCGAGGAGCTCAAGTTGACTAACGATTCGGCTCAGGACTTGTTACAGCGCGATGGCCATAGGCGAGAACACAATTGCAACTGCTGTCGGTTTCGAATGACATCTAACAAAACGGGAAAATAGACACAAGTAAGCAATGAACGATGGAAGAACTAGCACCATTAAAGTTAACCAAAGGGCGTCAGATGACCGCCATTAACAGCAGTTGCCATTTTTATGCCTTTTTTGTCCATAGTGTGAGACAAGTCGAATTGCTTTCAATCATAGTGGAACGTCTCTATCCAATTAGTGGTGTCTCATATTGGAGGTTGGGCAATTCTACGTGGTTTTGAAGACAAAGTCCAACCTCTCGAGTTTACTAGGGACACCATTAGCCCCACCTTCGGGTGAATAAATGGATGGAAGGATGGATAAACGAATGTCATTGGAATGCCTTCTATCCTAATAAGTAAAAATGACATGCACAAGACTATTTTCTCCACCATCTGTAATAGTACCGGTTCCGTGGATGAAACGCCTCCTTCCCACTATCCTTGCTGACAGTCCTGTATGGTTTACCTTTTGAGTACAACAGATCTTCAATCTATCCATTCTCAAGTCTCCACTTTTATTCAGCGAACGCATGCACCGTGGTCCCGTCCACGTATTTGGCCCTCATCCGATCCATAGTACAACAGACAATCCTAAATATGATACAACGTCATCCAAATAGCGATTTATTGTGGGCCCTACTTAAAAGATGAACGATCTTCCCTCTGTCTTCACTAACTGCCCCTAACTATACTTCCGGTAGACCAAATATTTCAACTCTCCCATCAGCAACACCTACCAACACACCTCGTCATAGACGCGAAATTAATTCAAGTCAACTGACTCTGTCAGTACTCATCCACACACCCACATTCATTAGGCCGCTCAAACACAATCCTGTGGATTAGGAGTCTTGACGTCCCTGTTCTCGGTGGATGAAGTCAACTAAAACGAGTAGGTAGTTATTTTAGCTTTGGGCCACATCTACTCCAAACTGTTTGCATAGAATTAAGTTTTCACAATCGAATTAGAATTTTGGAATATCACACATCAACTCGACGTGAAATGAGTGGGTGGTTATGTGTGTAAAGCAAAGGTCAGAGCTGGGTAATGTAGGTTTGTTTGTGGTCTGCCTCGATCATCCACTACCTCCGTTATTTGTTTGCAAGCAAATCACACGCACCACAAATACATTTGATGCGACCTGCAAGTTGAGTGTGACGAGATGAATTTAGGACTCACCCATACCAGAATCGCTCAAATGGAATTAGATATTGTGGGATTAGCGGAGTCTGCAGTAATATCTACTTACATTACCAATTTCGACTTTCAGAAAATTACAGGCTCAGAGGAATTATTACAGCATGGTTTGGTCAGCGTTTTGCCTTTCTTTACAGCACTAAAGTACTCGTGGCCATTCATGCCGAGGCAAATAGGATCTGCCAGTTAGGAAGTACAAGATTGTTGTCCACACTAAGTTGAAACCATTTAATGTGAAAGATGGAAATTTAACTCCATTTATTTGCTTACCTACACCATCATTTTCCAGACAACTCTTGACACTCACCCTTCCTTACTCTCTCTGTGGTATCACTTTCAAAGATTGTCCAATGATTTGGCAATGTTAGCAGCGTATACTTCGGGTAGGCAAGAGCAATGAAGCACCGATTGATTCTTCGACAGATGGAATAGTGGTATGTTGATAGTAAAAGAGAAGAACAATTGGCATTAATTCGCTGAGTTCATTTGTCACAAAATCACAACTGTACATTGTACTCACTGACTGTAGTAGTATTTTACGTTTACAAAACGAGCCAATACATCAACAGAGGCAGAAAGTGAAAGAGTAGGTGGCATCACAGCATGGACTGAGTAATTCTATTTGAAGAAGGTCACTTAATACCAATTTGTCCTAAATCGGAAGTACTGGCAGCAATGAAGATGGTATTCTATGAATGGTGGCCTGTCGAGTAGTTATGCATTGAGGCAGTAAAGTCAACTGTAGAAGGCTGAAGTGAAAACCTGCTTCATTGCCCATTCCGGGTTAGAAAAGCACTTTCTGTGAGATTTCGCAGCAGTCTATTGGCTATTTTAGGTTGTCGTTACAACCGATAATTGATATGGTATTCTTTTGCAAGCCATTTCAAGCAAAGTTGAAATAAATGAATTCTCATAGAGAGCGTTAATCCATTCCAAACCACCACTACAATAGTGAAGTGGGGACTGCAGTTGGGTGTACTTTGATTTCACTCACCATCTCATCAACACGCTTGCAAAACTGGAATGGAGATGATGACTCGGTGAGAAGAAAGTACCAAGAAGAGAAGCCTTTCCATCTGCGTAAGATATGACGGTTACATTTCGTGAGATTCCTTTCACGGCATGCCAAGACCCTTGCTGCACATTCATTCTGCGGCGACAATGCAAGTGCATTTGTTTGCAGGTGTTTGTCACCCTGTTCAAACAAGAAAATTAATGTAGCTGGAGAGATTGTGTAGGTTAGCCTCCTGCGTCTGATGTGAAGCTCCTTTTGAAGCATCTCTTCCTGAGTTTGAATGCTATATTTTAAGACCTTGATGGTAAAATCACTCCTTAAAAGAACTACCAGTGAAATATGTTATCCTGTTTCATACAAACACTATCTGGTCACCATTTTACAATCCACAGAGCCTCTTGTATCCAGATGGCCTAAGGAATCCAGGAATCTAATAATCCAGTCGATTGCTCTTGTGATTGGCTAATGCCACGAACAGAGGCATTCAAAAGCAGACCAAGGAGAGCTAACAGTCAGGAAAAAAGAAGGTAGAGGACAAGAATGAGACAGTTCTGACATACTGGAGAGTGGTTATTAGGTAGAGTGCGGGGTAACGTATAACTGCAGGCGCTTTGTCGCACCGAACGACTACTCCAGTCACTTTCTCAGGATGGTTTTACTTGCCCATCTTCGATCTGCATTGCAACTGTGCAAAGCAGTTAAAACTCGGTGACAAGAACTACGTGGTCGAGGCAAGAAGAGGTGGACATTAGTGCGAGAGTCTCGAACTGGAGGAACCGTTTGACAAGTGATTAAAATGCCTCATTGTCATCTGCTATTCACAGTTGCCCACGTCGGCATCATCGGCACACGTCTCTTGAGCATGATCACATTGCTTCCCTCTGTGACGACACACAAGGTAACAAAGGAGTGCCAGAGCTTGGTCAGCCGTACACATGATACCGCCTTGATTTGATGTGGGACAAAGACAGTTTACACATCTACTTAATTTGACGACACGACCAAGGAAAAATGGGGAGATTCAGGAAATTGAAATCAAGCCCATGATTGAGCAAAAAAGCACAATAAATCAGAAGTGAGAGGGCAAGATGGGATGCATCTTTGGCATCATGTATACATCTTATATCCAGCCTGTATACACCTCTCCATCCATTACGTACGCATCTATCCATCCTACTATTTATCCACCTAGCCATTGCTTCATCCAGGGAGACAGAAGTGGAAAGGAATATGTTTTAGTGGAGCAAGAAATTAACATCATCATTTAGAGTAGAGCGAAATAGGTAAAGAACTAACGTCAGCTGATTTACTATGTCAGTCTATGAGATATGAATTGAAGGTACACAAAGGCCAAATTTAAATTCGGCTCAACCTTGCCTCGGGTTAATGTAACTCGCCTTTCTACGGTAATTGTGCATATTACCAGCTGTAAAGAGGACATTCGGAGTAAAGAAATGGATATCTGAAAATTCCATTGGTTAATTGCATCAGTATTGCCTACCTTCCTTTTTCAATGATTGATCGGCATCCATTTGGCAACTTAATCCCTGTTTTCCACTAGGAGCACGTTTGCGTGGGATGGGGGACCTGTGACTATATCACAAGGTGCCCTATTGCCGAATTTTGCACAATTTTCATTTTGTGTAGTCGGTAGGTAGCTCTCTTGATTTGTGCAGTGTGCTTTACTGTCAAATCAATCAAACCTTTCTATTCTGCTTGCGCTCAGTGAAAACATACGAAGTAGCATTTGAAAGCTATCTCTCTCAGGTGTGACAGATGCGCTTTCTTGCCTCCTTTCATCTTTAACCCACGGCACGATGATTGTGAATGGGTAAAATCTGGAGATGTTACATCGACATTGCAGCACCACTGGTTGTCGGGTACGCACGTTTGAGATGCTCTTTATGTACAATAGACAGAATGCAGTCACACTGGTGTTTATCGTTTCGTGAATAAAGCCGCCAATGAATCAAAGGCCCGGAGAAATCTTCTTCGTTACTATGTTGATGAGAATAACTAGTACTAAACCGACTTGCTTTCTCTTAATTTTACCACCCATTTAACAATTTATCACCCATCCATTTCTCTGATGCAAACTGGTGCCCGTCTCTGCATGTTGGATGCGATCTTGTCGAGTTCTCCAAGCTGAGAAATGGAACGAACTATGGAGAGCTCCTTAATCTACTTGTCTATGTTTACCGATGAGTATGGAATTTGACCATGGCTACTGTGAACAAATTAGGCTGGCTTGGCATTAGCGATGCGAGAGTTGATTGGTGCTCTGTCATGCAATCATTCCGTGACATCCACAGTCGCCTCCTTCACTCATCATTTTATTCCTGCTCCTTTAAATATCTTAACTAGCCTCTCCGCATAGTCATTAGATTGTAGCTGAAAGGATGGCAGGCAAATGTGTGCATTGGCATGTTGACAGTAGTAATCATGAATATAGCGCACAGTGAACTGATCCGTTGTCTCCGTAAATCAAACGAAAACTATAATTATGGCCTCTAGAAGCTCACGTTGGCAAACAATACTGCTCAGCACGTGTAGTTTCTTGGTGGATGTAGAGAACTTCTAGGGGGTCAGCCCTGACGCTTTTGAAAGACGTCAGACAAAACGAGTAATAGACGTCATTGAGCAAGGTGTGCTGGAATGAGACAGACCGCTTGGATGTACGGATAGGTTTAAGTGTCCATTATCAACACTGGTGGCCATTCTAATGTTTATTTTGCCCGGTGATTCCTGCTACAAAGGTGTTAACAACTGCATCGCCCTGAGCAGTGGGAGAAAAGAAGGATGGATGGGCAAGTGGATGTTGGGGTGGTGCTTCAGGGTAAGACGCATGCGTGATCTGAATACCACATCACCCACCGCATAAACTGGTGATTGTGTCTCCGAGATCGGAACACACTGAGCTCACAAGTAGAGTAGTTAGTAGACAAGATGTCGATGGACATGTTATAGTTGGCTGCTGTGTATACGAAGGCAGGATTGGATGGCGTGTGTGTATGTGATAGCTAGCCAAGTTAGGAGTGAAGGCAGGCAAAGGAAAAAAGTCCATTTTAGAGCATTTGGCGACCTGAAAAACATTTCTTTATTTGCAGCCTGGTTAAAGCTACTGCCAGTCAATTAGAAGTGGCCGGACAAGTCACAGGGCATCTTCATCATCACCTAATTAGACCGCATAGAGCTAGTATTAATCTGTCCGGCTATTCCGTATCCAACCATCCTTTCATCCACCCACCTACTCATTCATCCTTTTAGGATCCCTATTGCATCCTGTATCCAAAAATCCATCCAGTATCAATCCATCCATATATATATATACATATATTCAGCTATGCTTTTTATTCACCCATCCATCCACCTCTTTGTCATCTGTGCTCCCATGCCTCACTTTGTCCATGTGTCCACACCGTGTGACATTTAATTCCAACTGCTTTATTTCATATTTCTTCAAATTTGAATAAAAATTCCCACCGAATGCAAAATTCTTACTTCCAGACCAAAGCAACTTTCAGAGGAAGATTGGTAACTCTTATAAGGTTTGTAAATTTGATCAAATCCAGCAAAACTACTCACACGAGTCTGAAAAATTAGCCAGTTAGAATGGTACCCTCCTCGTGGATATATTTAACCTTCAAAGCTGATGGAACATTTCGAAGTCTACCTTTACGCCAGTGTTTGCACATACAGCGGTCCCTCCCATCACTTCACTCTGAAGCGATTTGAAGTGTCACCGGCATTTGTCAATAGACAAGATGGATGGTCACGTGACGTGTTGAAGCATGTATGTATTCCAAAAGTTAGTTTATTGTAGGTCTTACTTGACAAAGTGTGAAATACTCCACTTTATTGACTAAGATCCTGAGGATATAAACTCCGTGTGCCTGACCTCCCAGCATCACCCTTCAACGTACTTCGGCGAAGAGACCAATTTGATTCAACCCAGACCAACTCATTTCAAAACTTCTCCTTCTCATCCATCCACAACCTGGTCAAGTAAGCAATCCCGACTACTTCCATTCAGTGAGGCGACTCACAGTCTCACCCCACATCCATACACCTCCCTACATGCAAATGCAGCAGTCTACTCGACAGCAACCCTTGGAATATAAGACATAGTGGCTCTGAATTAAATTGGATTCAATAAATAATTTATAGTGCGGTTTGGTGGTGGATCAAAGCTGACCAGAGTAGGACGTATGAAGCATTCAGAGGCGCAGCAAGTAACAACTGCTCCATTAGCGGTGCCTTTTAGATATAAAACAGCTACTCAAACCATTAAAAATGTATTTGTACTATTCCGAAAAATTAGAAGGCTATGGGTGTACTAGAGAGATGAAATGCAAATAAATGGGGTGCTTATGACAGTTACGTCGATGTTCTCCTGCCTCCACAACTTGTTCACAAGCAAATCACCAGCATCACAATCACGATGAGAGCGACCTGAAAGGTAGAGGTGAAGTGTTTATGGAAATGACTTCACTTCACTCTGTACAGTGATGCTACAAAGGACGGGTTTGGGACTCACCTGCAACAGAATAGCGCAAATGGAAACAATCAATAAACTCTTCATATTTGATGCGGTAAAAGTGACGATTTTGTCTCTGCATCCTGGCACATGAGCCTTTCGTGCTGCTTCAGAATCACAAGGTCGAGTCGTCATGTTGCAACATTGTATTGGCGGCGGTTTGCCAAGTTTATCTAAAGTAAATGCGAAATCGTATAAAAGGGACAACTGCAGGAGCAAATGTAACAAATTATTCGCGAACCTACCGAAATCGCTGCAACCATCCATGCCGCAGCATGTCGAATCTATCTGTTATAAGAATAGCCAATTCATAAGAATATATTTGATGCCATTTTCAGCGGGGTAGCAATTGAATCTTTTTGAT